GGACTCGTCGGGAATCACCGAGATACAAAGAATGTACTCACTAGTTATAAGAATCGAACTTCTACTCGAGTTTCGGTCGATGACGAATATAGTGGTGGTGGTGACTGACACTAAACTACTAAAACGAGAATTTAAATGGTGGATATATACAAATGATGGGATAGACATCATAAGTTCGGGAATTTTCGGTACTACGAGGATCGTGTCTAATTTACTTCGTATCTCACTAGCTCGGTTTGGAGAATTCAAGGTCTTTTGTCGAGGATTACTCTCTCAAGTCTCACCTCTCTTCCTAAAATCATTCAACCTACCGATCTCTTAATTCCTAATAGATTGAAGACACTAAGAGCATAAAGCTTCCTATCATAATTCCTAGACAAATTCACCATTCTTACAAGAATGGATTGATCACCTATATGTCACCTATCCAAGGCAATCTCTCTATATCCAAATGGTACAATCATCTAATCAAATGAATGTTTTCCAAGTCTAATTCCATATCACTATGCAAATTAAACTCTAGCTCAATTGATTCAAGGGCCAACAAGAATCAAAGAATTAAGAACATTCATTCAAACCAAAACGTCAAACCAATGAGATCAAGTATTCAATACACACATAAATCCTTATACAAACTCAAATTCCAAACTCATGAAGGGAGTTGATAGATATGATGCTCTGTCCACGATCGGTTTACGAAACTGATTATAAATCTATTGGATGTGTTTAGGTGATCCAATGGGCCCATATGTTAGTTAATAAGGCTAATGGGCCTAATATTTCTTAATGGTTAAGAGAAAATCCATTAAGGCCCAATGGATTTAATGAAACCCTAATTCTTTATAATTATGTTTAGGAAACATAATTTAGAGTTAAGAAACATAAGAGATTTTCAAATTCTCTCTCTACTTCGGTCGTCGCCCTCTCTCTCTCCCGGGATTGTCTCAGTTTTCGTTCCCGACCTCTAGATCGTGTTCTAGTAGACGTAAGCCCGTGAGTGTGGACTAGCTGTAGAGAACGTTGGATTTCAGCGTTTGTGACATGTCTCTGGATCGAAACAGGTTAATATATCGATACCTTTATCATTATATGCAAGATCTGTTGATTAGGTTTCGTTTCATATTATTCCACTACGTGAAATCCAAGATTGGAACCCTAAAAACCGTTATGAACGCATGTTTACGGATCTCTAAAACCCCAACAGTTCTCATACAAATTCAAGAGACACAACAAGACATATCAAAGGGATATTCCAAGAGTAAGAATAGAGAAATAGAGTTAGAGAGGCTTAGTGATTTAGGAGCATGATCTTCCTCTTCCTTCTCTTCTCCTTCTTCTCCTCTTGAATCACCCTTGAAAACTTGGGTTTTGCTCTCAAAACTCTCTCTCTCTAAGTGTGTGAATGATGATGCTAGACCTCCCATTCGTATCCCTTTTATAGCCAATAAAAGGATAAATACATTTCTCCATTTTTTCCCCATTTTTCTCAATGATTCACGCCATGTTTTGAGGAAATGTGTTTTTTTTGTCTTCATCACATCACATAGTTATAGTATTTTTCTCATAACTTTCGGATCCAATGTCAGATTGAAGTAATCTTTATTTCCACATGTAGAATCGAAGATATCTTTCCACTGGTATATTGCACATGTAATTTGGATTTGTATTGAGAAAGTTATGTGGCTCGCAATGGTTCACTCTAGCACAGTTCATCGTCAGAACATAGAGTCAAAGTAGTTTCATCATAACTTTCCACTACAATGTCGGATTAGAGTGTTTGCGTCTATACATAGATATTGAAAAAAACTTTCCAATGATGTGAAATACGTATGATATGGACCTGTATTGCAGAAGTTATGGAGCTCGTAATTTCGAAATTTTGCAAGCTTTTACTCTTTGACTCTTTGGTACTCGGAATGTTTCCAATGATGTGATATTTGATTATAGAATGCTACAAAGTAATCAGAAAAATAATATTAACCGTAAATTCATGTGTGATTCTTTCAAATTAATTGATAACTATCAGAGAATATGAATTGTTTAGACCAATTTAATTTGGTTCGGTATGATAGGAGTGAGCTATATAAATATCTAGTGTTCTTCATATTGAACGAAAATAACAAGATAAATTAATTTTCTCCTATTCATCTTTCAAATTCTTTAAAATTCGATTTAGATTACATTTGATCTCGATTTAGATTGGATTATAATGATAACAATTGAATCAAAATGAAAAGAACAAAACCCAATATCATGTCGGGTCGGGTCCAAACGGGTCACATCGGATCGGGTCAAAATCAACATAATCAACATAATGAAGAGGAGACGTGAGAGAGATGGATTAGGGTTTTAGGGAACGCAAATTGCTCGAATGCACTTGTGTTTAGCAATGTCGAATTTAACCCTCATTAAACAAGAAAAAACACATTTATCCTTGATGAATGTATAGGCGGGAGACAAATATGAGGGAGACTTGAAAAAAAAAAACAGAACATGTTACAAAAATACAAACGATGTCGTAAACAAATTTTGTAAACAAGTTAATTTAGGGTCAAATACAAAAAAAAAAAATCCTAGTTTACTAATATTAAATCTCACAAGTTAAAATTTATTATTTAAAATTTCAACTATACAAACTAAAGAAAAAAAATACAAACAGAACTGACACAATCGAAGATAAAAAAAAATATTTTCTATTTATTTTTTAATTTATTTAGTTTTCATTTATTTAATTTCTAAATCCTAAAATCTCCTACCAAAATTATTTCTATGATTGAAAACCCTATCTTCACTCTTGGCTTGTATTACCTAGTATTCTTTACCATCACTTTTTTGCTATCACAATATTCTGCTTTAGTTTATTATTAAATTCTTATTTTAAAGATTTATAATTATTAAATTATGTAATTTTTTAACCTAAACTTATTTTCAACCCTAATATTGGTGTATTTGTTTTTATGGAGAATAATTATCTTGATCACGGTTTAATTTTATGTATAATTTTGCGTGTATATATATATATATATGTGTGTGTGTGTGTTATGGAATAATCTTTAATTGTGGTTCTCTTAAAGATAATTCAATGGAATGATAACAAACTAATTAAAATAACTATAATTTAACTTATTAATTCAAATCGATCAAACAATAATTTACGTTAAATCATAAAAATCATTACTAAAAAATTTTAAGTTCTTAACTAATAATTCTTTAAGGATTAAAGCACTCTATCTATGATCTTTTTAACTTGTTTTTTACTTTCTCTATGGTCTTTTAATTAATTTGTACAAGTGTGATATTTAAATAATAAATTTTAAATTATAAAAATAAAATCTTAAGAACTATCTCAAATATTTTGCATAGTCTGATGCTTATAAAATTTGTTTTGCAGATTTTAATAAATGAGTTGCTTAATAATAAGTACAGTCTTATGCACAATAAAAACAATGACAGTTCTAAATCTAAATCAATGCATGAAAAAATGTGACATTTAATTACAGAATGTTGCAAAGCAATCATGAAAGACAACCTTAACCGTAAATTCATATGTGATTCTTATTACAGTGAAGATATCCTATCAAATTGATAATTATCGGAGAATATGAATTATATAGACCAATTTAATTTGGTTCGATATGATAGAAGTGAGTTGTATAAATATCTAGTGTTCTTCATGTTCCAAGAAAACAACAAGATAAATTAATTTTCTCCTATAGATCTTTTAAATTTCTTTAAATTCGATTTAGATTGCATTAATTGATTTCGCTTTAGATTGGGTTGTAAATGATAACAATTAAACCAAAATGAAAAGAATAAAACTCAATATCATGTCGGGTCGGCTTGAAACGGGTCATGCCGGGTTGGGACAAAATCCAACATAATTAAACGAACCTTATTCTTCGATCACGCATAATGTTTCAAACGCAAATGCTAGCTTTCGCAATTGAGATTTTTTTTTTTATATTTTTGTTATATCTATATATAAATTAAAAAAAATAGTAAGTGAGATATCTTTCTATTCTAGGAAAATTTACAAATATGTAAATTTATATGTTAAATAGTAAAACAAATCTGAAAAATTATCTCCAATATTTTGTATGTCTATAACCCGTTTTAATAAATGAGAAATTTACACAAAACATATGAGAAATAAAGGTTTAGTGGTCTAGTAATAAATACATACTTATGCACCAGGGAAACAATTATATCGTAAATTGAACTCAAATCATGCCTTTTATTTATTTATTTATTTTATATATATATAGTGAAGATACTCTAAATCAAATTGATAATTATTAGAGAATATAAACGATTTAGACCGATTTAATTCGGTTTGGTGTGATTGTTGTGAGTTGTATAAATACCTAGTATTCTTCATTTTGATTGAAACAACAACATAAATTAATTTTCTTCCATCCATCTTTTTAAATTCTTTAAAATCCAATCTAAATTGGATTTGATTTCACTTTAGATTAGTTTACGATGATAACAATTGAATCGGGATGAAAATAAAATTAAATTCGGCTTATTTTTCTTCGTTTCTGACCGATCTCGAGAATGAAATAAATTTCAAGTTAAAAGAAAATTTTTTCTTATAATCCAAACCAAATTTAAATTTATTTTCTTTCTGGTTCAATTGTTATCACTATGAATCAATCTAAACCGAAATCAAATCCCAGACCAAACCGGGCCCACACGTAAAAATTTGATACACCATAACTGATTTTTATGATCTCTTACGACAGATTCAACAGACATGTAGGATGAGCGATCAGCATGATCATTATATATTTATGTATGTATATGTTTTTCATTCATATGTTTGGTTTTTTTTTTCGTTTGCTGATTTTTTTTGGTATCTTATTTTATTGATAAAATACAATTAAACAATAATAACGAAAAAGCTTGTATTAAAACTAGGACAGTATACTTTTGCTTTTATCGAATACACTTTTGCTTTCCTCAATAATTTTCCCATTATTAATATTTGCATTACAAAAACACCTTTATTCCCTCCCTTCCTTTCCTCTTTTACGTAAAAAAAGTTTTTTTTTTCATCATCCCTTTAACTCAGAAATACATAAACACATGAAAGCGAGTTGCAGAAAATTTTCAGTGAAGACGTACGACAATGGAGTTCGATTACGAAGAGCTTGTTAAAGCCACCGATGGATTCTCTCCGTCGAGATTTATCGGAAAAGGAAGCCATGGGAGTGTCTACAAAGGTCTTCTTCTCGAACACGATGATCATAGAACCGTCGCCATTAAAGCACCTTCGTCATCGTCTCCTTCTCCGACGACGTCGGCGGCGTCTGTCTGTCGTGATTCAGTCACTGTAAAAGCGGAGAGGATGAAGAAACTCGAAAACGAGATCAGGGTTTTGTCGTCTCTTCCTTCCCCGAGTCCACACGTCGTCAGCTTCGTCGGAGCGAGTCGTGACTCAGTGAACGTCAAGCTCATGGTTATGGAGTTCATGCCGAACGGGTCGCTGCACCATCTGTTACACGTGGCGACCTCTTCTCGTCCCACGTGGCGCCGGCGATTGGAGATCTCCCTTCAGGTGGCGCGTGCGCTTAACTTCCTCCACGAGCGAGCCGTCATCCACCGCGACGTCAAGTCGGAGAATGTCCTGTTCGATTCGAGCTGGGACGCGAAACTCGCCGACTTCGGACTCGCCGTGTCGACTCACCTAGCCGACTCAGCCATTCAGGCGAGTCCGCCGGCGGGGACGATCGGATACATCGACCCGAGCTATACTTCTCCGGAAAATCTTACCACGAAGACTGACATCTTCAGCTACGGCGTCGCTGTGCTGGAGATCGTGACTTGCAGAAAAGCCATTGATCTCTCTCGCTCGCCGGCTTCGATCGTAGACTGGGCGATCCCGTTGATCAACGACGGTAATGTCCGTGAAATCTCCGGCGGAGAATATCCACCGCCATCGATCGAACGTCTTATTCGGACTGCGGCGAGGTGCGTGTCGGCAACTGCGGAATCTCGGCCGTCCGCCGGAGAAATCGTGGCGGAGATAGCGGCGAGCTTGACGGAGCCACCGAGGAATGTTTCGCTGTGGATGAGCGTTTTGCGCGGGCTTGTTGCGATGAGACGGCGGAGAAAACGGGGAAAGCGTTACAGAGAGTCTCTGACGAAGACGGAGGTTTCGGAGCCATGGCTGAGTCAAACCTGCCGAGTTAGGTGAATTAGGGAGGAACGAGTCGAGTCAAAGGGGTTTTTCGAAAGTCAAAACATTCTTCGAATTAAAAAAAATTAAAAAAGAAAAAGAAAAAAGAAAGAGGCGCGTGACATCCAAGCAGAAGATTCCCAAGTTGGTGGGAAGTGGGCACGGAATATAACGAAGCATGTCCGTCCTTGTTCATAGCTACGTGTTTTCTTTTTTTATAAATTGTTTTTTTCAGTTTTTATTTTATATTTATGTTTAATGCATGGTCAGTATAATATTATAACCAGTGTAATTATGTTCTTCCGTATATTAATTGTTATTTTATATTGAGACAAAAGATGTCGTTTTTCCTTATAAATGCACATGAATCTAACAAATATTGATAGTATAACGACATTTTTTAATTAAATTTTGTTGTCTTTTAGGTCTAAAATAAGATCAAACTTTAACGAAAATTGAATATTTAAGCAATTTTTTTCACCACTAAACATATTTACTGTCTAAATATCTAATGTATAAATATATTGGAAAAATGAATCAGTTCCCAAAGTTTTGATTACCTATTTGAAAAAATTATAATTAATTATATACTTAAAACTAATATTGTCTCTAAATTTATAGTGTTGGGGTTTGAAGGCTTAAACGTATTGAATAAAAATGCGAAAAGCTTATATAGTATCCTGAAAATGTAACTATTACTAGTGTTTTACTAGGGATGAGTAAAAAAAATCCAAATTTCAGATAAATAATTTGACCTATGGATTGCATACCTGAAATTTCGGGTATTCGAAAGAATGAGATATGAAATTGGATAATAATATTAAAATACCTAAATTTTCGGGTTCGGGTTCGAATAATAAATATTGTTTTATGGGTATTGCGGTTATCCAAATAATACAAAATTATTTCTTTTTTATAGTTCAAGAGGTGTACTAAATAACGTTTTACTATGACTCAACATCTTTAAATCTTTTAAATTTAAACTAATCCTCGCTTGATCTTAAATCAACACATAAAAATAATTTTAAAATTCTAAATTTTAAATATATTTATAAATATATATTTATGTTTCACGGGTATCCGGATAATATAAAACAGTTTTACCATGTATATGTAGTGGCCACAGAAAACTACTTGCAACCACCAAAATCATCTATGTATGGCTAATGTAATATATAGTATTTTATTAGTTGTTGGTAAAGATCAACTACCGGTTAAAATTTTTCGACACAGTAATAATTTCAATAATGTTTTGACGATTTTAAATATTATATATATATATATATATATGCATCGTTTCATGAATATATATATATATATATATATATATATATCAATTAGGATCACAACATGTGATCTGTTCAGGACTTGGAGTTTAAGAGTACTTATATCACAAAATCTCCTGTTTTACTTTTTTTTTTGTATAATTACAAGAAACATTGCGTATGAAACAATGCATCAGTAAATATAATGTTTTTTTATTAACGTATATATATATATAATGTTAATACATATCTGTAGAGGAATCGCTCTCGAAACCTCACCGAGAATTCTCCGATTACTCTCGTTCGCAAGAACAAAAAAGAAAGGAGACACAGCGATATACGAGTTCGGTTACTGAGCCGGAGCTTGGGCCTACGTCTCGGAAAGAGGATCAGCGTTCTACTAGGGTTACAAGAAAAGCACCACCGGGAACCGTCGGAAACGGCACCGGAAAATACAGCAGAGAGAACACTCGCCGCAAGAGAGAGAAGAGAGAGGGAGTCGAAAACAAACTGAGCTAAAATGAATCAAACCCTAGGTCACGTAAATGACCTTGCACAATGACTCTTTTGTCGTTCCGTCATTCGAACCTTCTGTCTCCAAACGAGGCTTTCAACACCTCCACTTCGTACGGAGTCTTTTGCTGAAGATATTCAACAAATCTCCACCTTCTTCTGCAAAAAACATGCAAAGAAAACACGAAGAAAAGAAACACGCCTAACCCTAGTATGTCGATCCCGTAACTTCCATGTAACTCCCCCTCTGGGCATGGTTCAAGGCGCATTGAACCTACCTTTCTAAAGGAGTCCTTACCGAGCGTGTCATAAACACAACTCAGCGTGACACGACGCACCTAACCTACCCAAGCGAGTGTCCCCCGACATCTCTGCTTCCGAAGATTACCTAAGACCTAGACTAGTATGACTCCCTAGACCGTCTAAATGACCCCCTCCGGTGAAGTCTATACCTCACCTATGGCCCCCCGAGGGTCACGCCCCGACATCTACCCGTCCCCCGAGTCTATCCCGACTGCCCCGAGATAACCTTGAGTCATACTAGCAAACCTAATTCTTGATCCCCGTGAAGATCAAACAACCTATGACCTCTACCCTGGACGCCTACCTACCAACTAAGGTGTCCCCATGGGTTTTACCCCGTGAAGACTCCCCTAGTCGACCTATAGGAACTCTACCGAAGGCTCGGAACACGTGCAAGCACGTGCTCCACCCCGAAAGAAAATGCCCCTAGCGCTACTACCCTCACCGACTCTACCCGGTGACCCAGCATTCCCTAGCTCGCCCCTTCCCCTGAGCTTCCTACCCGAGGTAACTCCACCTAGACGTGGAGACCTCACCTCCGAACCTCCACCCGAGGAGTAGTCGGAGCATACTAAAAGTACCTCCGAATCATACTCCTGAACCGAGGCTACTACCCCCTGTTGGTTTAGTGCTCTATGATGTACTGTTTATGAGCTTTATTTAGATACATTTGATGTATTGATACTTTCTATGGTTTATGAGAGTATTTGATTCATTACATGTTCTTGCATACTAGATGTGTTATGAAATCCATGTATCATTATGAATGATACTAAACTCCCTAGTCTTGTGTCATTATGAGAATGATGACATAATAAGACTAGTATGATGTGTGATTGATGATCACATAGATGATCATAGGTATTGGATACGATCACAATCATAGGTATTCGTTGGAGAACGAAATACTGGATTGACCCGCATGAGATTGTCACATGGACTAGCGTCATGACTTGAATCTCATATGGCAGTTCCATGATTGGATCCTTAGATCTGAGATATCTACGGAATCCAACATGAGGAGTCGCGTTTTGCGTAACAGGAGGACTATAAAGGTGTGTATCAGGTACGAAACGAATCATGTGATGGATTGTAGATAGTCAAGACGGGATTTGTACCTCTCGTAAAAGAGAGAGATATCGCTGGACCCCTCGTGTGAGCGAGACTGTAGAAATGTGTGGCCGCACTATGGACGAATGTCGTCTATTTCAGACAGTCGAACTCAGTGAACGAGAAAGCAGTCGAATCAGATAAGGTGGCTTGTCCATGCCTTATATTCGACATATGATATCGTGATACAAAAGGATCATCAACCGGAATCATCACTGGCGTTCGTAAGATCACGAACAAACTCTATTCGAGATAGGTAGTCATATTGTCTTGCTAGAGACCGCCTATGACTTGTATATCCGGAATAGAGATTTCGGGTTATACTGCTATATCGAATGAACCTACGTACAGGGTCACACATGCAGGGAAGGACAAATGCACGAGAAAACGTCGAGAAATCTGGACTGAGGTCCGGACCGTCCGGTCTAGGAGTGGACCGAACGGACCGGAGCATCTAGTCTGAACGGACCAAATTGTTGGACCGAACGGACTAGAGAGTCTAGTCTGAACGGACCAAGTGTTGGACCGAACGGACTGACCCTCGGTCCGAACGGACCTAGTTATGAGACTGGTTCGAACGGACCAAGTGTCCAGACCGAACGGACTACTAAGCAGTCCATTCGGTCTGGGTTTCAGATTTAATTTTAAAATCCGGATCTAGGGTAATCACTTGAACAACAGGAGATTAATAACCCTAACACTAGGGAGCCAAAAAATAGAACTTCTTCAGACCTTTTTGGAGAGTCTAAAGGGTTGAAGAAGTGATCTAAATCTCGTTTTCTCAAAGCACATCATCGAATAGAAGATTCGAGTCCTAGCAGACAAGTTCCAAAGGTTGGAATCCATCCCGAGGTGTGGATACGTGTAGAGGGCAAGGTATTCTTCCTGCCTACAGTGATCAGATGAACATATCAATTGATACAGGCCCCGGATCGATTGAGGTAAGTGTTCTATCGTTTCTACAAGATCATGCATGATATGTTTTAGGGTTTTATCAAAATTTTTGTTTTACATCCGCTGCGCAAACCCTAGAACTGATCTCTTAGGAATAGGATTCGCTTATGAGATCCCAGGAAAACCCAACACCCCCTTACCCTCGGTCTCCTCCTTCGCCCTGCGGGACCTACACTCCTTCTTATAATGTCACTTCTTGCCGCAATACCAACACTCCACCTGGTCTTTGGCCTTCTTCTTCCCGCCACCCGATTTCTCGGGAATATTTCAGGACTTCCCTCAGCTGCTCGTAAGCAGGAGGTAAGGAGTTCACACGGTAAACTCTCCTCTACCTTCACATTTAGGCTGTGAAGGTCGGACAATAGTTTCTGAAAAATGTCTAAATTCTCCTCTATCGTCCTAGAGCTGTCCATCCTAAACCCTGACACCCTCTGCATGAGGTACATCTATTGGAGAGGGATTGCTCTATGTGCAACCGCTCTAGTTTCCTCCAGATTCCGAAGGCCGTCCTTTCGGATATGACCTTCCTTAGAACCTGATCCGTTAGAGCAAGCACTATGAGGTTCCTAGCCCTTCTACTCCTTTTTTGTCTCTCTTTGAGAGCTGGAGTCCCGATCCCTTTGCCCCGAGTCCTAATGACTCGGTGGAAAGGGTCGTAAGACCTCCCAAATCCTCGATTTCTCGAGCTGGAGTTTGTGGGCTCCCCTCATCAGCAACCCCCACGTAGATAGATCATCCTCTAGTGTGTCCCATAACCCTAAGATCTCTAAGCTAATGGACATCTTCTCCTTCCATAAGCAGAAGTCTCCCTTGCCGTCGAACTTCTCGAGTCAAGGCCACGATACAGAGGGGCAGACATCACTAAGGAATACCTAATCTCTAACCCGAGGATGCACTAGACCTACCTAGGACGACACTAAACCTGGGAATGACTAAACCGACCCTAAGAGCACCTGAAACCAGACCTAAGGAGTAAGACCGATCCTAAGAGGACCTAAACCTAGGTATTCTTCAACCTAACAGACCTAATAGACTCTAAACCTGCCTACCTAAGACCTGATTAGGTGTAATCAGACCACCCCAAGGCTAACACTGACCTAATCAATCTAGATCAGACATAAACCAAGTCTATTCTGTCTACGTAAGTCCTAATCAGACCTAAGCCAACCCTATATTGACTTACCTACCCCTGATCAGACTTGAATTAACCTAATCAGATCTAAACTAAGTCTAAAACCGACCTAATTAAATCTGATCAGACCTTATCTAGACTAAAATCAACCCTTACAGACATGTACCTATCGATTTCAAGCCTAATACTGACTTCTAACTCACCTAATTCAGCCAAATCCTTTTATTCAGGTCTAACCGGATAGAATTACCGGACTCTATGGACTGAAACCAGGTAATCAAAGTCTACTGCAGATCTAATCTGTTACTACCTAGGATAAATCGATCTATACAGACCCTAATTACCTTAAACCAGATAGAATACCCTAAGAACCGGACTCTATCAAACCCAATCGAACCAATCAGACCTAAAATCGACCAATTTTAAGTCCTAATCAGACAATCCTAACCCTAAACCGACCAATCTAGACCTGTTCTACTCGATACAGACCCTAAACCAGACAATACCAACCATATTTGGCCGAAACAGACCCTAATCAAACCTAAATCGGCCCAATCCCGATCTAAATTGACCTAAACCGGACTCTATTGTCCTAAACCAGTCCTAGATTGACCTAAACCGGTCTAAGTTATCCCGAACCAGTCCAATTGACCCCAAACCGGACCTGAACCGATCCAATTGACCTGAACCGGTCCGGTTTTCCTAACCCAGTCAACTGTTGACCAGAAATTGGTCAACCTTTAACCTAACTCGACTAAACCCGGTTCGATTTTAAATCGAACCCGGTTCAATAGGACAATTTTGGTTGAACCGGCTAAACCGGATCAGAACCGAAAACCCTAATTCGGAACGCAGAAGCTGCCGAGTTAACTCGAGCCAACTCGGACGTTGACTCAACCCCGAAGACGACTCAGTCGTGACTCGAACGAGTCACAGCCAAGACTCACCGGAAACAACCGGTTTTCACCGGTTCCCCCCACAAAACCCTAGATCTACGCAAACCGAGCAGTAACTCACCTCTTCGGAGTCTAAACTCGACTGATTTACTCAGTCCGAGTCAGATCCGGGAAAACCTACCTCTTTCCTCCGTCGATCTGAGCTCCGCCGTGGGTGTCGACCGCCGATCTACTACCAGACGACTTCCTTTTCACCGTTTCGTGCCTGAAACACCTCGATCACCCCGGTTAGAACGCTCAGACCGAAACAGAACATACCTCAGGTGATTTCCACCACAGATCCGCCGTGCCTCGCCACGAATCGGGCTCCTGATATCACTTGTAGAGGAATCGCTCTCGAAACCTCACCGAGAACTCTCCGATTACTCTCGTTCGCAAGAACAAAAAAGAAAGGAGACACGACGATATACGAGTTCGGTTACTGAGTCGGAGCTCGGACCTACGTCTCGGGAAGAGGATCAACGTTCTACTAGGGTTACAAGAAAAGCACCACCGGGAACCGTCGGAAACGACACCAGAAAATACAGCAGAGAGAACATTCGCCGCAAGAGAGAGAAGAGAGAGAGAGTCGAAAACAAACTGAGCTAAAATGAATCAAACCCTAGGTCACGTAAATGACCTTGCACAATGACTCTTTTGCCCTTCCGTCCTTCGAACCTTCTGTCTCTAAACGAGGCTTTCAACACCTCCACTTCGTACGAAATCTTTTGCCGAAGATATTCAACAATATCCAAACACACAACACTAAGAAACAATTCAATTTTTTTATGATATTAAAATAAATTAATCTAATTCGGTTGATCGCTGAATTGGTTTTATCAGAAATAAATATATATTATTTATTTTGTCGTTTTAGAATATTTTAATTATCCCCCAACATCATCGTTTAAAAATAAATTAGAGATATTAAAGATAACATTAAATGGAAAAAATGATACTGGAGTGGGAATGATGTATTAGTTCGAAACTATATATATATATATATATAACGAGAATATTGTATAGTAGAAATATCTATTTGTCAAATCCCATCCTAATAACATAATCTTAAAATACTGTTTTCATTATTATTTTAAAATGCACATTTCATTAAAAAAACATATAAACTGGATATGTTACTCTTTTAATTATTATTTGAAGAGAAAAAAAATTCAAGATTAGGTAATTCATTCCGTAAGAAAATTTTTTTTTAACTCATGTTCGAATTCTCATTTAGAAAGAAATATTCAAATAGAATTCTCATAAAGATTTGATAAATTTTCGAATTGTTAAAAAAACTGTAGCCACGTGGCATGGGAAAACTTTTATCAGTGAAACGGCGTCGTTCCACAAATGTACGTGGACACCGGACAGTGAAACCCGTTTTAAGGCCCAATATTTGGCAACGAATGGCAAATGACCCCAAACTCAAATAAATTGGGTCAGCCCATAAATTTTAATGTGTTACCCATTTGGGCGGTTGTCGCTTTCGTCTCAAACCGGGTCTCACTGCACCAACCGGTTAAGAAAATAAAAAACCAAAATTCCTGATCCGGTCAATAACCGGTTCAGACCAGTCCAAACTAAATCAGGAGACTCCATTGGCAAATTCTTGTTCGAGCTCCCATTCCCTTCGCTGTTTATTTTCTACCTTCGTCTGTCTCGCTCAGACTGTATAAACCCTAATTTTATGCCCAAATTTTTTCCGCACCTATTCGCTATTTGACGTACTCAAGTGACGAATGAATCAGTAGCCTTGGACGAATAGAGGGGCGGGAGCTTGATGGAGCATCATCAATTTGCGTATAACAATCCGTTCGAGAGACGCCCTATCCTCAGAACCAAGGCTCCTGCTGTTAAATGGGTCAAGGAATGGTAATAGAAACCTAATTCATCGTGTCGATTACGTTTTTGGTTGATTTCTCAGGTTCTTTCTTTAGTTGGGTTCTTCTGGTGTATGCTTGTATTGTGACTGGAGGGTTTCTGTCTCTGATTCCTTCTCTTCTAAATTCTGTTTGATTTCGGGTATTCGGGTGAAGCGAATTATATTGGGTTTCGATTAGATTCAAGGTAAAGTTCGGATGAATTGTTGAATGCACTGGTAGTTTTAGACAAGAGCTCGTGTACTTATCGGACAGGTTTGCTGGATGTTGGGTTATTATATTACTTGGTTCTTTTGCTGAAGCACAGATTCGAAGAAAATCTTGGTTCTTTAGCTGACGTAGTGCTTATTGAACTACATTGGCATTACATTGCATTTAGTTGCCTGAAATCTTTGGTAACCATATCATGAAACAACCATTGACTTTGAAGGATGTTGAACGGGCCAACTCATAGATAGATCAGATGAAAAAAGGGTTCCAAAAAAATGTGAAGAATCGCTAAAACGGTGACTGTGTATTTATCGATGATAAAGGAGTAGGAAGAAAGGCATTTGACGTGATATCCAATTCTATCCATATGTCTGTAAGGAGGAAAAGATTAAGGCTTTATGCGAGGGAGATAGCTTTATGGGTTCGATCTTAACACTCTATTGTCTTTGGTTCTCCTTTTATAGGGTGCCGCAAGATGTTGTTGCCACAGGTGGAAAGTGTTATCTTCTGAAATGGGTAACAGGTACCTTTTCTCGCTTGTGTATATCGTTGTTCTCTCTATGGAAGTTGTTTTATGTGCTCGTCTCATTTGTTTACTTCTCTCGCTCCTTTTATGCCGTTATAGAGGACACTTTGAAGAAACTGAAAGAGAAGGAAAAGGAGCCCGAGGCTCCAGAACCCGAGCCAGAACCTACCACCGAGGTTTTATTTCTTTGCAGTTATGAAGGATGTGGAAAGACTTTTGTTGATGCTGGTGCTTTAAGAAAGCATTCCCACACCCATGGAGAACGGCAATATGTTTGTCACTATGATGGTTGCGGAAAGGTATCACTTCAAGTTTGCTATCTTCATTTATGTAATATAGCGCCTTTATTGTGAACTTGATGCATGCTGACAGCTACTGCTTTGAATTTTGCTTGGATCTATTCATTTTCGAGTGTATCTTCCTGCTAAGACCTAGACTAGTATGACTCCCTAGACCGTCTAAATGACCCCCTCCG